CCGTAGCTGGAACTCAAAAGGACCTTTGGAGGAAGGGTACAGTGCCAACCCGTCTGGTGAGATAACCTCTGGGAGACCAATAGGAAGGGATTCCCACAAGAGCCCAGCTCCTTCTGTGCCGCCCACACTCACCCAGAGACCAAAAGGTCAGCCGGTGACATCCTGCCAGAGCCTCCCATCACTACAACACCACCAGTTCCTGCAAAGCACAGAGGCAGGAACAAAGGAGAGCCATGCATATGATCCCCACTTGAGGCCAGATTCCAAACTAGTCCTGCCCACACCTGGCAGGAAATGCAAATTTTCCGACAGTTCACTATGGGAAGATATAGGATTTCTAGGTGGTTTAATGTCTCTGTGATGCATTGTTGGTCTGGAACGTCCAGCCATCTCCATTCTGCACCCAAAAAGTTGGATCAGGTACAAGAAAAACCACAAAGGTACAGAGTAAGCAATATCCACTTCTCTTCTCTCGGAAACAATGTGCCATAATTTCCCTTTTGTTTATTTTGCTCTCATTTCTTGGAGAGGATGCTGAGTCACCCCCCTCTGTCTTGTTTTAATCCATTAACCTCCTTAGAGGGCACAGTGATTTTCCTGTTTTTGATACTCCACATCTCCCCCTCCATTGTCTTTCCTCTCCTCCTCCTCCCTCTATCTCATGCAGCGCTTGGCTCCGAGCGGCCAGACGGAGGTAAGAAATGAAACGTCTGAGTGATTAATGTCAGCGTGGCAGTGTTGGCTCACGTTGGGTCTGAATGGTGTTAATGAGTGTGGCCGCCTGTAGATTAACTAACGGGTAGGCTGTGGAGGAAATTGCACTTCCTCGTCGCAAGCACTGGCCGAGGCCCCGGAGAGCTTTTTATCAGACTTCGGCGGCAAGCATTTAACCTTGAGCCGCCAAATGGCAACGGATGAGGTCTCCGGCGCGTGTTCGACACCATTTCTCACACCCAGGTGAGAGAAGGCTTTGCGTGTTCGTCTCTGACTTCCTTCTCACCAGCTGCCATTTTCATTCTTCTCCTTTTAGCAGCTGTTTCTGGCCAAGCTTCGGCAATTCACACCCCCCAGCCCTATCTCTCTTCTCTGGGATTCATCTTTCCATTCTATTATCTACGTTTGCCTCGCGAAAAAACGTATTGGCTCTCAGTTTTGTGCGATTCCACCCTCCTGTCACGCTTGCACAATATTTGTATGCGGCTCTTCTCTGCAACACCTCATTAATTCATACTCCCCTCTACCCCCTTTCAGGAGCCACACAATAAATGCAGAGAGGAGGGCACAGGCTGAGGTGACTTGCACTGAGCATACAAAGGAGCTTTAGCTGAACAAAAGTCCCCCCCCACCCAAAAAATTAATCTTTAAATACAATACTAGACTTGGTCTGCAAAATGGCACAATTGACAACACACTATTTCCTTGTATGACATCACAGTTAAACCAAAAGAATCCAGGAAGAGAACTGAGGAACGCTACAGGTTTGGTTCATCCTTGGCTTCAATTTCCAGATGCCTGAAAGAGCTTTTTCCAGAAAATTAGATGTCCTAAAATGCAAAATTTACATATCACCCACAGGACAAGAGAAAAAGACCTTTTGGTTGCTGGCTGAAACTGGTACGACAACATAGTAATGTAAAACCAAATGAGACCCAGTCCAAAATGGGCTAGAATGCTATTTTGCAGTTTGCAATTACACTTAGTAACAAAGACCTTCATTTATGGAGAGATGTCCTGTCGTCTGATGATGTTCGTATTTGGCCTTAATGACCATTGTTAGATTTGGAAGTAAAAGGGGGAAGCTTGCAAAACTTAATTAAGAAAAAGAGAGTTGGGTTTATGTTTGCAGGGCGAGGCTCGATAAAATACATGGAATTATAAGTTTTTGTATTTCTTTTGGATGAGGACCTTCTTCCAACTGGAAGACTAGAGGCTAAATGTATGGAAGTAAATCTGTGTCGCTGCGATTTGAATTAAAAATGCCACTGAAATTTAAATGTTGTATGTTTGTACTTACTGTTTCAATGTTAAAATATATTCAGAACACATTTTTCACCTAAAAAAAATTCATTGTCGTTATTTATACACAGTTGAAATTTCATTTGTTATTTTCTCTTCAAGCTAAAAATTCACATTTCTATTTCAAAGTGATTACATTTTCAATACTTATTTTTCTGTTTAATTTTTCAGTGTTAAAAAAATCTGCATATAAAAAAATTCAACCTTTCAAAATTCAAACTCAATATTTTCAGCCTCCTGAGATTCAACTGGCTCTATTTCACTGTCTTAAATTCAGTGTCTAAATTCAGTGTAAAAAGGGAAGGGTTACTTCAGGTCACAGACATTAGCAGTGGATTGTGGCGTCCAACACCCAGCCAATCCCGTTACGTTTTCTTAGTCACGTGACGTGGCGCGTATGGCGCTCATACAGAAGGAAAACCAGCATCACGGAGCCGTTCATGCAAGCTAACGCTAACACAACTACAGAAAAATGAAAGTAATAAACTCAACGTTGAGTTAGCGTTAGCTTGCATGACCAGCTCCATGATGCTGGTTTTCCTTCCGTTTGAGCGCCACAAGCGTCACGTCACGTGACTAAGAAAACGTGACGGGATTGGCTGGTTGTTGGACGCCACAATCCATTGCTAATGTCTGTGACCTGAAGTAACCCTTCCCTTTTTACACTGAATTTAGACGCCGAATTTAAGACAGTGAAATAGAGCCAGTTGAATCTCAGGAGACTAAAAATATTGAGTTTGAATTTTTTTATATACAGATTTTTTTAACACTGAAAAATTAAACTGAAAAATGAATATTGAAAATGTAATCACTTAGAAATAGTAATGTGAATTTTTAGCTTGAAGAGAAAATAACAAATGAAATTTCAACTGTGTAGAAATAACGACAATGAAATTCTTTTTAGGTCAAAAATGTGTTCTGAATATATTTTAACACTGAAACAGTAAGTACAAACATACAACATTTAAATTTCAGTGGCATTTTAATTCATATCCCAGTGACAGATTTACTTCCATAAAAATGACTTAAGGATAACAGTCTGTCCTTTTTCCAAAAAGTTAAAAAAACAATTCAACGAACTTTGTTTCCAAGTTTGAAGACGTTTCGCTTCCCATCCAGGAAGCTCTTTCAATTCAAAATGTCAGAAATAGCGTTGAGTTCGAGGCTTTATACAGTAGATCAACAAGCCCTTGTTTTTGTTTAGAAAACATGCAAATTGAAACGGATGAATGTGGCATTCCTTTTGAGCAGCCGATATTGAACGCTGATCTCAGTCCTTTGGTAGGTTTGCATTCAGAGCCAGAGAAATGCCTTTGAGTAAAGAGGTCAGTTCTGGCCCAGTTCACCCTGTTCCGTCAGAGGTAATAGGCCACAATTACAGCAAACAATTTCAGTGAGATTGGACAGGGTTCCTAGAGCATGAGGAAAGTTAAATTCAAGACTTTTTAATGTCACTTGAAATAAAAATTTAAGACCAAATTCACAAGAAACACAAGAAAAACCTGCTTGCGACAACTTAACCCAAAGGTTTATTTTAACATAAACCGCTGCACTAATGTTTCAAACTCTGAAAAGCTTCCCATACAGGAAGAAAGCTAAAAACACACAAATGACAGATATATTTGAACAATTATTTAACTGAATTCACAAACTTTGTTTTAGCAGGGAACAAAACAAATCAGTTTTAAAGCCACAACATAACCAGTGCTAAGTCTTTTTTGCAGCTATTTTTCTTTGTATGGTTTTCTTAGTATGTTTGATTTGGTGATAAGTGGAGGCGTTGCAGAGATAAGGGTGGAACTAAACTGAGAAATACCGGCTGTTTCTCTGTAACTCCATTTTGACGCTTTGTGTTTCGCGCTTCGCATGTGCGACTCCACTGCCTTAATTCCCATCGTTCTGAGCTTGAATGACTTCTTGCACAAAATCCACTGAGCCTCATGTATGTTCCCTGGTTTTAGCCATGGAGAAAACTCTTGGCTGGAGACAATTTTCTTTACATTTACACTTGCTCATATTTTCCAGACGAAAAGTTAATGGCGCATCTCCCAAATGTCCCGACCGCAACAACGCGTTTATTGGTTCCGCTATCGGGACGGAACCAATAATGGCGAGCTGTTATTTATTTTTTTTTATAAAAAAAAAAGAAAAAATTGTAAATTTTAACGTTTTATTTAGATTACAAAAATAAATCGTAATAAAAATAATCCTATTTATGATGTTTTAAAAATTAAGACCTACGAAAGACTGATTTAAGACATTTTAATACCAATTAAGGCCTTAGTTTTATTTTGAAGAATTCAATGCCTTTTAAGACTTTTTAAGGACCCGCAGGAACCCTGTTGGAAGGAGAGCCAAAACATTTGACCCGAGTCATGCCATCTTTAATCCAATTCTGCAAAATACCAACGAAAGGCATTTAAACCGATGATGGTCATAAAAATCGTACTCTATGTGCTCTATCTAGAATTTTAACTTCATCAGCTCTTGACTGTGTGGATTCTTTAGGTCAGGGTGGGCCATTCCAGTTCCTGAGTTTAAAGAGCGAACACAATTTAATCATGTAATTAAATGATTAAAAGAACTCTGAAGAAATGAATCCTGAGAGGGTAATTCTGCCATGTGATTCAGGTGTGTTAGTTGTGTGTTATTAAGTTGTTGACAGGCTCTACCTGAGCAACTGAGCCAATAGGCGATCGATTGGCTGAGTAAATAAATAAAATCTGAAAAACAATTTATAAAAAATACCATTTTAGATGAGAAAAGTTACTATTAAAACCTGTTCTTGTTTAAGAAGTTTTTTTTTTTTTTTTGCTTGGAATAGAACATACTCCATACATTTTTTATTTATGTCCATTAATTAATTCCAAATAATAATGGTAATCAATTATGAAAATCTGATTCAGATCAAAACAATTAGATTCATTTTGAGACTTTGATGTTTTCTAAAGGTCAGCAAAAACCACCCTCTGTTAAACTCTTACCCTGGCACTGTGTGCTGTCTGCAGACGGCTCATATCCGGCAACACAGGTGCACGAGCCCACCGGAACCATCCACTCGCCGTCCCCGTTGCAGTACAGCTTCAGAGGGACAGAAACCTCCATGGCGTTGGCCACACAGGCCCCCGGTGCAATCACTAAGGAAGTAGCTTCCGCACCTGTGGCAGTCTCGGGGAAGACAGCAAAATTGGCAATGGTGGTGGAGCACTTCCTGAAGAAAACCCTGACTGAAATGAGTGACATGCAGGCTCCCAGATCCTGGAAAGCCAGGTAGAATCCCGCCCTGGAGAGGGGGCCAAAGCTGCGCACTTTGGTGTTGATCCTGCCGGCTTCCAGCAGAGAGAAGCTCTCATCCGGAGCAATAGTATCCACCTTCACGTAAGGGTTCTCCCTCCACAGAGGGCTGGTGTCTGTAGCTACGTCCCCATCCGACTCGTAGTAAAACAGATTGAAAGTCTCCTTGCAGGAGCCCGGGATGTTGGGGATGCTCGCGCAGTCACGGACGGAGAACTTGAGCTCCACATAGACCCGAAGCACTCCTCTGCGGGGGATGAAATCTGTCCTCAGCCAGTTGTTCTGGTTTGGCTGTCTGACGTTGCACACCTGATACGTTCGGATCGGGCTCATGGAGTCATCGTATCCACTCACTTCCTCCCACTGTGAAAGCAAAAGATAAACACAAACGGTCAGAACGAATGCTTAGAAAGAACTCTTATCTGTTGTCTGTTGATTTGAGCTAATACTTCCTAATGCAAACTGTTCAAGCATGGAAGATGTTCAAAACAGCCCTGTGGTGCTTGGAGCAGAAAAGAAACGACACACACACACTGACACATATTTTCCGAGGCGTGCTGCGTACACGAGGCCTGTGAGGAATAATTTGCAGCTAAAACGTTTCTAATTGCATGAATCATTCAGAAAATTCCAATCATTATGGGCTATTAATAGATAACACTTTCCCATTAAAACACATTTCACGCATTCCGTCTGTTTGACTGGTCCTGATGCCGAGCGTGTGCCGGAAGGTCTGCAGGAAAAAAGAAAATAGCAAAAAGAAAGAAAGCGGGGGTGGGGTTGTGATCACAGCAAATTTGTCGATTTAAAAGCTTCATCAAACGCTGCTCTCAGAAGATGGAGCATAAAGTGGAGGAAGACCTGTCTGTATATCTGAGGAAGTGCAATCGATTGGGCTCCAGGAAGGAGATTTGGTCTCTAAAGCAAACTGTACCGTTTAAAGTCAAACCTTCCCTGTTTATCCCCAACCAACGGGCTGCCTGTGCTGGTCGGGCAGCGGCAGCACACCTGAGCGCCTCCAGCTATGTTACCGTAACGTACTCTTTACTCCTTGCACGCCTACACATTAGGCATGAGTGCACTAATTTACATACATTAGTTCACAAACCTGTCACACTCGGCTGAATTGTAGCTCATGTTATTGAACAGCTAGGATGATGAAATGGATATAACTTCTGGCTTTGTGGAGGCAGTAATCAGAATCTACAGCACTTTGAAAAACTGTTCATGCCACCTTGAACCCCCAAGGTTTCTTACAGCTGATATTGTTCTTTTCCTTTTCGTTTCAAATGATTAAAATGACACAGTGATAACAAATGTAAAATAACTCAGTTTAAACAAAAAAAGAAAAAATCCTTTAGTAACAGATAAAAACGAAACAACTAGGGATGCACGATATTGGGATTTTGGCCGATATCCGATATGCCGATATTTTAAAACTCATGTAGCAGATAACCGATATCGATACCGATGTTAAAGCTGGACAAAAATAAGTAGTCATTGAAAATAGCAGTTTTGTTATCCATTTTTGACACTTTGAAAAATAATATAGTCAAATACATTTTCATATGCTGATATCTAATAGATTTTTAAAAACGCGGTATCGATCTATTTTACTTTCAAAATCTCGTGAAATTTCATCGTTCTCGTGATATTTTGGAAATTCTTGTGAGATTTTGTTAGTAAAATAGATCAATACCGCGTCAATATATCAACATATAAAAATATGGCAAAATTTCGTGAATTTTCGGGGGATTTTGTAGCATAACGATGACATATAGCAATATTTCATTAGTAAAAGAGATTGATATGGTGTTTTTAAATGGCAATATATCAGCATATGAAGATATTGTGATATTTTAATGTATCAATATTTTTTCGATCGTCTTTAGAAGTTTTTAAGTCTGTAAAAAAGACGTTTTTGAGGAAGAAGAAGAAGTAGTATTTTTTTTTTTTTTTTTTAGACTTTAGAAACTGAGAAGCTGATCAAATATCGGGTTAAATATCGGTGGGGTGGCCGATGTCCGATATTCAGTTTTAAGGCCGATACAGGCCGATACCGATAGGGGGCTGATTATATCGTGCATCCCTAGAAACACTATGGAAGCGAATCGTTACCATATTTAAAATGAAAAAGCATTTTCAGAAATGCTTTTTCATTTTAAGAATGTGGCTAGTAATCAATCATTCTATTTGCATTTTCATTTTCTTCTTCAAGACTGCTCATCATTTTACTTAATTAAAATTACAAAGAAAAAGACATGTGAGATTTATTTTTCAAAATCTACCCCAGCAAATACATACCAAAATTCAATTTGAAATGTAAAATCTGAAAATGAAAAAGTATTTCCAGAAATGCTTTTTCATTTTAAGAATGTGGCTGCATTGTTTGACTCATGAATGAAATTAGTAATCAATCATCTTATTTGCATTTTCTTCTTTAAGACTGCACATTTTATGCCATATTCAAAGAGAAAATAGCGGACATTGCTTTTTCGTTTTCATGGTCTGCGAGCAAAGTACTGTCCACAACTCGAAAACAAAAAAGCATTCTGAGCGGCGGGCGCAGCAGAGTGACGTCAGCAGTCGCTCTTCCTCAGGTCCTTGCTGACCGGGCTTTCTTAAAATGAAAAAGCATTTCTGAAAATGATTCGCTTCCATACAACAACAGATATCCAATAGAAGAAGCAACAATGCATGAGCTTCATGTGACCTAAAGGTCTATCTAAATGGCTGCTGAATGCAGTAATGCAGGTTTTTTGTTCTATTTTTTTTACTGGGCCTCCCTTTTGTTTACAAGTAATTTTTTGCTCCCTGTTAATTTCCAACCAAGCTCCAACTTGTTCAACAGTTTAATAAAGACAAGTCAACAGCAGTAAATTAAATTATGCAATAAAATAAACTAATGTCTACTTTAAATTCCCAAAACTACAATCTTTAAAGTACAATTATATTAAGTTTAGCTATTTATTGCACATTGGAACATAAGTTAACACGGCTGTTTTTTATTCAGCTATTTTTCTACCACATCCCCCTGCAATTACATTGTCTCACCTCTAGGAGGCGCACGCTCAGTTTGGGACCCACTGCACTAATGAATTAACCTGACTCCGCCAGATGGCTTTGCTGGATTTGCTCCACATATCCATCTGGAAACCTTACATTGCAGTAATTTTGGGAAGGGGCGAAAATACTGGTTAGCTGATTGGCCTATATTGGTGATAGACGGGCCAAATAAACCAATCAGATCAACGAAGCATATGACGTACTAACAGAGCGACGATGAAGAGGAGCCAATTGATAGATCAAACTCTTGCTGAAACCAGTCGGGAGAAGAGCAAAAACATCTTTTCCTCTGAGAAAAGCCTCCAGAGCAGTGTTTTGCTCTTCTTTCAGTGAAGAAATACTCTGTAATTCCGATAAAACTTGCTCGATAGCCACGCTAACGCTAGTTTCATCTGCTGAAGCCGTCATGTTCTTTAGACTGAACTGTCGCGCTTCTCGTTGCGTCACACCTCAACCCGCCTCAAAGCCAACGCTGATTGGACGTTTGTTTGATGAACAGCTCCAAATTTTCTTTAACAGAGAGTCTCCAGACTGATTAGCGAGTGAAATCTTGAAAGCTCGCGAGATCAGGATGGTCTCATGAGGCTCCTAATAAATTGGCCAACGTCTGAACATATCGGCCAATAATGATACAAGAATAAAACACTAATACAAAAATATGCGGCAGACAATTTTTTATTTATCCTTTATTTAACCAGGTAATACCCATTGAGATTAAAAATCTCTTTTGCAAGGGAGACCTGGCCAAGATAGGCATCAAAATTACATCACATCATTACATATGTATAAAAGACACACACATAAAAGCCAAATATGCACTTACAATAAAATTTCAATTAAAACATTGACATGTGAGGGAGTCTAACTCAAAACATCTAATTCTCAACTTAAAAGTATTCAAAGGAACCAATTTACTAAGTTTCATGTTATTTTGCAGCAAATTCCATGTAAAGGGAGCAGAGTAAGCAAAGGCCTTTTTACCCAGCTCAGTACTGACACGTGGGACAGAAAACAAGACAACAGCCTGAGAACGGAGAGAGTAATGACCAGTACTTTTTTTCATTAGAAGTGAACATAAATAAGATGGAAGCGCACCAAGAATAGCCTTATATATAAATATGTTATAAACCGAATAAACCGAACAATGTTCGGTTTATTCTGAAAGTTTTAAATGGATTTGTTCTTTCCCCTTTATTTTATAAAAGAATATAAAAAAAAAAAAATGAGTAATACAGTAATCAGCAGAGGTCTATAAAGTAGTCAAGAGTGATTAGTAGGTAATAGTGAACACACATTAAGAGAAATGTACTTTGTTAAAAGTACATTAATTGGGAAAGTAAAAGTTCTAAGTATTTCTGTGAATAAAAAAGGAAAACATTTATTTTATTTTATTTTTTTGTTGGTTTCTTTACTTCTTGTGTAAAAACAATGGAGGTAGAATTTGTTGTAAACTGGCTTTATCCATTAGAAAACCTGCTTTTCAAACAGAACTGTCCTTGACAACTCAGAATAACACAAAGGCCATGATGTAAGATGACATGCATCCATGACTGCGTTGTTTGTCTGAGAAAACTAGAAGTAGCTTCTGTAAGAACACAATGAAATGTACCCACCACTTAGAGAAAAAAAAATTATTAAAGTGAATCATTTCCAAATAACTTAGAAGCAAACTAAAAGAAATTCCTCTTGATTTTACAACAGAAAAACGCTAAATTCAGTGGTAACTTGGGTTCATCAGCTTTTATTTGGGATGAAATGCAGCAGTACAAATAATATTCTTACCCCTCATGAACATTTCTGTTTTTACAGACGCAAACTCCAAAGTAAAAAAAGACAACAATGTAGTTCATTATCACCACCAGCCACATAGAGCGGTTTTCCTTCTCTTCTTCAAATAAACAAACCCTTTCATGATAAATTCTGGTCATATTTTCATTTGAACTGATTAATAATGTCCCAGATTTCTAATTAAAGAAGTAAAAGTACACAGGGTGGTTTTCTTTTTCCTTGATGTTCTGTTTGGAGGCTCTGAGTAGGATTGAATAGAACTTATAGAAGCTGTAGATCCGTTTATTTCATTAATATAATTTGGTCTTCCACCATCCAGAACTGTTGCTTTATCACAAGCCATTGCAGGACGGTCGGGCTGTATTTAAGGATATGGGAACATCTTGGAGCCGGACTGATAGAGGAGAGCTAGCTGTAATCCTTGGGCATGGATGGCGTGTCAGTTTCTGAAGCATCCACCTGGTGCAACACATAGACTCATGAGGTATAAGAAGCAGGAGATGACCTTGTTCGGGGCTCAGTCCTGGCCGGACGCTCGCGGACGTGATTTTTGAGCCCACAGCTGTGCAAACTCCAAGCATTTTCTCCATCCTGTAACGACCTGATCTGGAATAAACTCTGTTACTTTTTTACTCCTGTTTTATAGTCCTTTTTATATGTTTTTACCCAGTTTGAGTTAAGAGTAGTAAATAACTTAGCTCCCAGGAAAAGAACCGTGAAGAGGCCCCGAGGCGCAACGGCCTTTTTTAGGGGACATAAGTTCCTCATTTAACAGAGGTCACCTTCTGGCTCTCTGGTAGTTCAGAGATACAGATGGCACCACATCTGGAATTCACCCAGTGCTGGAATTCTATTTAGGCTCAAAAACTATTTAAACTAATATTTGGTGTACTGTATCATAGTCTGACAGTTTTTTATATTTTTCATATAGACAAACAACACTAACAGACAACTTGACCTTTAATTTATTATGCAATAAAAAAATGGTACAGTCTCCAGCTATGTAGAGCTGATTGACTTGTAGATAAATATGCATTAAAATTGTTTCAACAAAGTACTGAATTAGGAGCTGAATATGAATAATTAACAGTTTGTAATAGTTCAGAGGTTCACAGTGAGGCAAGGATTTGGCAAAGCAACTCATATGTGCTCAACAGTGATGTTTGTATAAACTAATGTGAGGAGCCATAAATATGGTGTCCACTGGTCAATAAATTCAGTCCATTAGGAAATAACCTTGTGAGAAGTCAATGATTCCGTTTTTTTCCCCTCTCGGTTCCCAGTTCAACTGAATGCTTAGTTTCCATAACAAATGACCACCCCAGAAATTGATTATTTCAACTGGAGGAAAATAATGCATAACTCATCTCACGTCTCTGGACTGCCGGGCAATTTATCCCCAAACGATGAGCCCAAATAGTCAGCATCAGACGTCGTAAATCACCGGCAACACGTTGACGCTCTACCTGACAAATATGATAATTGCCGCTCTGGGTGTGGGGAGAAGGGGAGCGAGGGGGCGGGGGGGGGGGGGGGGGGGGGGGTCGCCTCGCCCAGTCCTGACATATGACTTCATGGATGCCAGGACATTCAGAGCCGGGCCCGAGTGAAAAAGAGGGGAAAAGAGGGAGGTGGTTTCCATAGCAACCCAGCATTTCCATTGACTGACTTTGCGCTCACGTAGCGAAGACAAATTGCACCGGCCGGGTGTGGGGGAGGTCTGTCAGACTGTTAGCCCCGGGGTCAAATTCATGTTGTTTTATTTTCTCCCAATTCCTACAGGGGGTATCAACTGAAAAACCTTAATTTCAGCCTGTAATGGGCTCCTGGGCCCGCATTAGAAAAGACGCATGCATTCAGGTTGCCAGGTCCTTTTTTTCCTGGGGAGAGATGGAAGTTTCAGCCCACATATCACTCCTTACACATTACAGGTATTTTTTTTCCCTAGCCCCCACCCCCTCAACCCCCCAAGGCCTCTTGATACTTCCTCACACGCAAACTCTGCACTTTTCTTTTACGTATTTCAGATGATCTACACACTAAAATCCCACATTTATTTCCCACAATGTCGCAGCAAGCTTTTTAACTATCCAGGAAAGTAAACATTCCATGCAAATACAAAAAAAACAAAGACATAAAACAGCAGGAGGTTTTGCTGTTCAAGGCAGATTGGGCTCTATTAACAAGCAAATGGAACAAATGCTGCTGGAGGAGAAAGAGAAAAGCACAACGCCCAGACACAAGGACGCTAACTCACCCCGCTCTCTGGGAAGGTGGTCCACGCCAGCTCTGTGGTAGCCCACCGACTGTCCATGAGGGTTTCTGCAAATGAAGAGTAGGAGGCAGAAATAAGAGCGCAAGTTAAATGATGTGAGTAAAAAAAAAAAAGAGTTGCACAGCATTAGAGACCACACAGAAGTTCCCTGTGAGAGACAAAAGGAAGCAGGTAAGGCCTGCTCTCCCTCTCCATCATAACCTCCACCCACGTGCGCTTTGGGTTTTTCTTTTTGAAAGCGCTGACAATTACAGCGGATCTGTGATGCAGTCTAATTAAGCCTGTGTGTGCGTGCCTGGCACTCGCTTCTCTGTCCTTAGTCATTTGTGAATCTCAGAACAAAGCATCCTCCTGGATGCCTTTGGATTGAAAGGTTCCATTAACTCAGACTGCTTCAGAGAGGCCTCATAGGCTTAAAAAAAAGAAAAAACTTTAACCAAACAGTGGGATTAAAGGGTGAGAGGCTGACAGACACACAGTACCATCATAAAACATGTCGCCTCTTCAAGCTGAAATATGTCCTGATTGAAAGGGTTCTATGGAGTGACATTTGTTCCAATATTCTTCAAAGTGAAGGATACAGTTTGTAAATGAAAATTTGAAAAATTGCTTTCCAAAATAAAATTAGAAAAAGGTTTGGAGATTTAAATTTTCTGTTTCCTCAGATTTTTTATTTTATATATATTTAATTTTTTCTATTTCATTTTCCTATTTTCCATTTTTTTTTTCCAAATCTTTTTTTTATAAGATGTTTCTCCGTGACCCGACCCCGGATAAGCGGAAGAAGATGGATGGATGGATGGATGGATGGGTTTTAAAAATGTTATTCTTTTCAAATTGCGTTTTAGAGCTTACATTCTCTTTCCTTCGAACCCGATACAAACACTCGGCCATGAACAATAAAAATGCTGTCGCTAACATCCGTAAAGACCAATAGAGATGCATATTTTTTCTTCATTCCAGAGGAAATCCCCCATAAATAAAAAAATAATGTGATTAGTAAAACTCAAACGTAAAAACAGTTTTAAGAAACTAAAATAAAAATTCAAAAGCTGTAGAAGAAAAAAATGAAACATTGAAATAAAAAAATAATGCTAAATTCTTTGGAAAAAAAACAAACAAAAAGTGAAACAGCAACAAAGTAACCTTTTTAAGAAATAAAAATGTATAGCCTTGTTTCTCGATTGCATTTCTTTTAATTTCCATTTATAAAAAAGCATTCTTTGTCTGCAACAACAACAAAATAAAAATTCACTCCATAGTTTCCCCTCCACCTGGAGCCGAACTGAACCAGAGGAGCTTAGATCAGTATCAGTAATCCCACGCTGCCCCATCAGTTTATCTCACCTTGGAGAACTTAACCCCCCGTTTACGGCTGCTGCCTCACCGGCTCCCATTGTTCTGTCGTTGTCTGTGCATAATCAGTGAAACAATTACACGTTCTTCATGGAGACTCTGTGACATGGCGCCTGCTGTGCACCATTTGCTCACAAGTTGTTGATAACGGTGAAGGAGGAGGGTGTGAGAGGGCTAAAATAAATAACGCTCTGTGTGGAGCAGAAGAGGAAGTCATTCTAGGAAACGCGGCTCTGTTCTGGTCGCAGACTGTGGTCACAATACAGTACGTGTTTGTGTGGTGCTGATAGGAGCTGTTTGACTTAAACAGATTAAAGCAGGATCTACGGTATGTGTGGTGACCTCGTCACTATGATAATCACCAAAGGCTTATAGGAGGGAGTCGCATAGTTCTAGATAATAAAGAAACTCAATGTGATGGCTTTAAAAAGCTACAAATAAGCTCAGCATAGGAAAATGTATAAGTAGGGCTGAGCCTCAGATTTATTGACAAATTTAGATGATAATTTAATTTGAGAATTAATCAAATGTTCTCTGAAATACGAAAGAGGATTAGGGCCAATGGAGAAAAAAAAAAGAGTTAACTGATTTTTTAATTTTATCTCAGACTTTAATCTCAGAATTCTGACTTTTTTTCTCAGAATTTTGACTTTTTTTCAGAATTCTGACTTTAATCTCAGAAATCTGACTGAATTCTGACAATAAGCAAAAGTCAGAATTCTGAGAAAAAAGTCAGAATTCTGAGATTAAAGTCCGAATTCTGACTTTTTTCCCCATACTATACTGAAATAAAATAAAAAAATCAGTTAACTTTTCTTTCTTTTTTCCACTGGCCCTAATCCTCTTCCGTATTGCAGAGAACATTTGATTAATGTTCTTCTTCTGACTTTAATGTCAGAATTCTGACTTTTTTCTCAGAATTTTGACTTTTTTTCAGAATTCTGACTTTAATCTCAGAAATCTGACTGAATTCTGACAATAAACAAAAGTCAGAATTCTGAGAAAAAAGTCCGAATTCTGACTTTTTTCCCCATACTATACTGAAATAAAATAAAAAAATCAGTTAACTTTTCTTTTTTTTTTTCCACTGGCCCTAATCCTCTTCCGTATTGCAGAGAACATTTGATTAATGTTCTTCTTCTGACTTTAATGTCAGAATTCTGACTTTTTGCTCAGAATTTTGACTTTTTTTCAGAATTCTGACTTTAATCTCAGAAATCTGACTGAATTCTGACAATAAACAAAAGTCAGAATTCTGAGAAAAAAGTCCGAATTCTGACTTTTTTCCCCATACTATACTGAAATAAAATAAAAAAATCAGTTAACTTTTCTTTCTTTTTTCCACTGGCCCTAATCCTCTTCCGTATTGCAGAGAACATTAACAGATTTTATTTCAGATCAGTTCGTTACAGGACAAAGAAATTGGTTGCCGTCGGAGCAGCGGTGGGCTCAAGTCGTCAGCACATGATGGCATCCAGAAAATGAGCCTCGAACAAGGTCGTCTCCTGCTTCTTATACCTCATGAGTCTATGTGTTGCATCAGGTGGATGCTCAGCCGTTGCATGTCAGGAACTGACACGCCATCCATGCCTTGACCTCTGTGCCTCTTTCATCTTTGCCTCAGGATCACAGATAGCTCTTCTTTATCAATCTGGCTCTGGGATATATCATTAATCATTATCCTGTGTTTACTGTACAGACAAAAAGACTGTCCTAATTAGATAGCCTCCGTACCCACAATGTGATACACCATGTGAAGGAAGGCCGTCCTCCCCATCTAATCTGGCTAACAGATAGGTATTACACATGACTAATAAAGAATCAACCTAACACATTGTGACTTTAGGTTTACGTTTGAATCCTGTGATGTTAGAGTTGGTAGTCAGCAGACTAGTGAGGAGAATCCACAACAGCACACGTTTAAATCACAATAAGATGGGTGACTGGGGGTGAATATGGTGTAACACTGGCTACACAATGACGTGTTAAAGCATGTGACCCAACACATCCCTCACAACCATTAGCACACACGCGCCGAAACAGAGAAAAACGGCTGCGGCTCTGCTTTTGAAGCTATATTTTAGAAGATATTGAATTTAAACTTTACACTCCCTACTTGTTTTTTTTCTCTCTTCTGTGTCACTGTTTACATCCCTTCCCTCTACTACTTTCTTTAGTTCTGCACCCTAGCATAAGTATTTTTGTGCCATCTAAGGGTTCCTACAGCATAAGGAAAGTTAAATTCAAGACTTTTTAAGACTTTTTAATGCCACTTGAAATAAAAATTTAAGACCAAATTTACAAGAAAAACGCAAGAAAAACCCGCTTGCGACAACTTAACCCAAAGGTTTATTTTAACATAAACCACTGCACTAATGTTTCAAATTTTGAAAAGCTTCCCATACAGGAAGAAAGCTAAAAACACACCAATGACAGATATATTTTAACAATTATTTAACTGAATTCACAAACTTTGTTTTAGCAGGGAACAAAACAAATCAGTTTTAAAGCCACAACATAACCAGTGCTAAGTCTTTTTTGCAGCTATTTTTCTTTGTATGGTTTTCTTAGTATGTTTGATTTGGTGATAAGTGGAGGCGTTGCAGAGACAAGGGTGGAACTAAACTGAGAAATACCGGCTGTTTCTCGGTAACTCCATTTTCACGCTTTGTGTTTCGCGTTTCGCATGTGCGACTCCACTGCCTTAATTCCCATCGTTCTGAGCTTGAATCGCTTCTTGCATAAAATCCACTGAGCCTCATGTATGTTCCCTGGTTTTAGCCATGGAGAAAACTCTTGGCTGGAGACAATTTTGGTTACATTTACACCTGCTTGTCGCTACCCGATCCGTACCGGTAGCACGATCCGTACCATCAGCTCATTTGCGCCTGCGCGAACAGAATAACTTCCGGGTCGCCAAAAAATAATGTAATTACGGTACTGAAAAAACTTTATTTATATCCTTAAATAATTAAAGAATACTAAACTACATCGTAAAGACAATATTGAAGACTTTTCTGGAAGAAATGGATGCTTTTTAAATTCAATCCATTGTATTGCTTGACGTCATTTTTCTGGAATAAAAATCCAAATTTTCGGGAAATGTTCCCTTATCAATGAAAAACTGCAGGTCACGAAAGGTAGCAAATGAATCCATTGTGGGATCAGTACTGCTGGAGTGCATAGTTAAGTACAGAGTAAATCAAATATTTAAACAAATTTAAATATATACGCTGTGAGACGTATATTTGCGCATGCTCAGAGCAGTCAAAGTAACTATCACAAGGCGATTGAACTTTTTTATGTATTTCTGTTTTTTTTATTTTTAGAAAATGCAATATTGACGAAAATACAAAGATATACAAAAATACCATGCCTCTAAAAAATACAAAAGAATAAAAAAGTAAGAAAAAGGAAATATTGCCACCGGAAGTTATTCTGTTTGCGCACGCGCAAATGAGCTGATGGTACGGATCGTGCTTCCGGTACGGATCGGGTAATGGCACTGCTCATATTTTCAAAGCAAAAAGTTAAAGGCGCATCTCCCAAATGTCCCGGCTGCAACAACGCTTTTATTGGTTACGCTATCGGGACGGAACCAATAATGGCGAGGCGTTTTTTTTTTTTTAAATAAAAAAAGAATGTCAATTTTAATGTTTTATTTAGGTTACAAAAATAAATCGTAATAAAA